ATCCAGATGAAGCTTTGGAATTTCTAGATCATCTAGCTGAAAATTCTCAATCTTGGCAAACAGTAAAACCAATAGAAAACTCACTTAGATCTAGTCTTGCTAGTTCTAGTGGCGGAAAATATCAATTGAGTCAAGATGATGATTTAAATGCTAGGACTGCTAGTTTGTCTAGAAAGGTTGAAGCTATAGAATTAAGGAAAGTAAAGGAAGTTAAACCCGTGCAAAATGATGAAATTTGTAGCATTTGTGAAACTTTTGGTCATCTTACGCATGATTGTCCTAACATTCCAGTTTTCAAAGAAGTTTTACATGATCAAGCCAATGCTATGAACACTTTCAAAAAGCCTTTTTCTTCGCCATACTCAGAAACATATAATCAACAATGGAGAAATCATCCCAACTTTAGTTGGAGAGATGATAATCGTGATCATATATCTCAACCTCAAGGGCTTTCAAAAATTCCTTCTTTTCCACCACCACAGTCAAAGACTCTTGAGGAAACATTGCAGTCTTTTATGCAAGGACAAGCAAATATTAATAATCAAACTTTACAAGCCATCAATGAAATTAAGAACACACTTTCTTCATTGACCTCTTCTTTGCATTTTCAAGAGAAAGGCAAATTTCCTGCTCAACCTCAACCAAATCCTTCTCAGCAATATAATGTAAATGCTTCTAGTTCTTCTGAAAGTCAACAACAAAATGCCAACTCCATCACGACTCTTCGTAGTGGAAAAATTATTGACAAAACCATCCCTTCAAAAGAACTAAAATCTGGTGGTATTTCAAAGCAAGAAAATGACGTTTTCAAAAGTGAGGAAAAGATCATTTCTGAACCTATTGTTGAAAAATGTCGTATTCCAGCTCCATTTCCTCAACGATTGCAACCAATTTCAAGACTCAACCACAATTCTGAAATTTTTGAACTTTTTAAACAAGTCAAAATTAACATACCATTATTGGATGCAATCAAACAAGTACCTTCATATGCAAAATTTTTAAAAGACTTGTGCACTGTTAAGAGGAAACTTAATGTTCAACAAAAAGTATTTTTAACAGAGAATGTGAGCTCGATCGTTCAACAATACACTCCATCTAAATTCAAAGATCCTGGTTGTCCAACAATTTCTTGTGTGATTGGGAATAACAGGATAGAGCGTGCTTTGCTTGATCTTGGT